GAAGTAAAAGTTCTGGTCCTTTTTAAATCTTTAAGAGGAAATAAGATTAAAAAAACACACCTTAAGTGCTAAACAACTTGATTATCGTCTATATTTTCTTTTATCTATTTATCATACATAAATTAATCATATGGTTTTAACTTCGTAAAGGAGTTTGTTCAGACACAGTTATACTATCAAAATCATATATATATTTTTTGTTGAGTTATATGTTAAAAGGAGTTTGACGAAAACGACAGTAGGGATATAGTTTTAAGAACCTTAAATTAAATATATGTAAGTACCCACTAAAATAAAACGTGTATATAAATAGAAAACATCCATACCTCACGTTATCGATGCTAACCAAAACATCAATCCATTCCTCTCGAACCATCACTTGATGATTCAGTTGGATCACCCCTTCAACCTGATGATAATTCAAAGAAAAACCAAGTTTTTGATCTTCTTGTCCAGGACTATTACACTTCTCAATCTCCATAGCAATCACTGGACAATACAGCTGAACTTTCCATAACCCTAATCCTGAAATCGCTGAAGAATACATGGGTGATGGCGCTTTCAGGCAGTGATTCCTTGCTCGTAGCTCTGTCATCCAGTTTGTGATCGCAAGATTCATGGACCTCATCCATTGTTCTTCTGTATTCGACCCCATTAACCTCATCAACCTTTTGGACGTTTCCCTTGCCCATGAACTCGCGAATTGATCTTTAAGCATGTTTATACAATCACACCGGATATCTTGTGGAGCTTCATAGATCGATACTATGAAAACCAGCGCCAGGAACACGAAATTGAATATGTCTTTGAGGTTGGGAATCGAGTTGGGTTGAGGGAGTTTTAGGAAAGAATTGGAGGGTTTGATGGGGGTGTAGTTGAGGATATCTTTAATGATATTGGTCAAGAGTTTGGAGATGGTGTGTTCATGGAACAAGGTGTTGCTAATGGCGGATTTGAGTGGTTTAGAGGTCCAAAGTGAGATGGGTAAGTTGTAATTAACACGAATGGAGAAGGAGAAGGAAGAAGAGTGGATTAGGGTTTTGGAAATGGAGAGCTCAAGAGATGGTTGAGATGAAGAAATAATGCGTATGGATTTGGTGTTTGTTTGCCATTGTGTTAGTGGTGGTAGGTTTTGAATCCAAGTCCAAATGTCAGGAAAAGAAGAAGGGGGCATTTTGAGAGATATTGATGGTGTATAGAAATTCATAGGAATCGGTAAAAGAATATATGCTACACTTGATCTTGACGAAAACTCGAATATGTGTTTGTATATATAGAGATTAGAGAGAGAAAGAGAGATGAGGATGTATCGGTGTATATTTATGGACTTGAAGGATGAGCTACAAACACACATACACACATATATATAGAGGAATAAGTAGGGAGGAAGATGATAACACAAGATAGAAATATCAAAAGATGATGGAATATATAATAATATTTAATTATTTCTTATTTTTTTTACGATGGTTAACTTTATTGACCTAGCTTGTATGTAAACCTATTTCACCCCACACATCAAATCATGTGAAGCAATCTAAACCATCACCAACATCTTGATAGGAAGAATTGTGATCGATAAATAAAATCTGACATAATTATTTTCTTCCTCTTTAAAACACTTTAATTAATTACCACGTCGTTCTATCATTCGACCACTCTTACGAGTTTATATAAATGGTATTTAGTGAGTAGTAGCATTTTGATGAAGTAATCAAATAATTATATATATGTTTGCTCACTACAAGAATTACCACATGCGCCGACGACATCAATACAGACAACAAGTGTCGTCGGTACAAAGTTGACCAATATTGACCAACTTTCTTTGACTTGGAACTCTATGCCAATGGCATATCGTCTGAATAGGTTAGGCGGGAACGAAAAGGTTTTATGCGGTTTTCTGAAAACTATGCCGACGATAAGTCGTCGATATAGGTAACGAAAATTATAATTTCCAATTTTTTTTTATAATTTGTGTTTCAGTAAATAAAACCGATGTTGATTTCATGTAACTTTGCTCGGTAAAGAAAATGACGATCCTTGTGAACTCTATACCGACGACATGTCGTCGGTATAAGGTTCTTATTATTTTTTTTAGTTGCGAGAAAATGATACGACGTCGTATAACTAGATGCCTATATCGACATCATGGGGGGGGGGGGGGGGGGGAGACCTCCACACGGGGGCGCAGGCAATATACCAACGGGTTATTTATCTTGTAAGTTACATGAATTTTTAAATTTACTGGAAGATGTTTAAATATGCAAAAAAAAAAAAAAGTTCTCGAGCGGCGGTGGAAAACATTTACCCGTGGAAGTTGATAACGACGGAGAAACCTATAAATTCATAGGTCAAAATGGCAAAATGTTGACAAGATTTATCTCAAATTATGTGGCAGAACATGTACCACTCCATTTTAGGACTTGGAGGCGTATTCCTTTCCGTTTCTATGAACCTGTGTATCCTGAGATAGAAGTAAGTGCACAATACTTTTTATATGTGTAAATTTTTATATTTTTTAAATATTTATTTTACTAATTAAATTTGTTTTTTTGTGGTAGACATTTTTATCTTGATATGTATCGGGGTGCATATATGTGGGAAGCCGTTCTGGCGGCTGTAAATAGCGACCGCCAAAGAGCTTATAAAGAACACAAACATGTGAAAAAATATTTTGATGAAGTTAACGAATATAATTACGTGGAAGGTGCAAGGGAATGTCCACCGGAAGATCTGGACGACCAAACTTGAGATGCCATGATTGATCCTCTTTTTTTGGATGAGGCATAGGAAGCAGTGCCAAAAAGATAAAGAAAGTAGGGCCAAACTTCGAGTTTTCATTGAAGTAGATCATATGCAGACAGACGTTGTGAGGAGGTAATTAAATTTATTTGTATTATATAAAATTTTTATCAACATTTATACAAATATATTAATTGTTTTTGACTTATTATAGAGAGCAAATGGACTAGACCCGAAAAACATATTGACGGCGGGAGACAAATGCGCTTTAAAGAAAGTCGGGATTGGTGTACACCGCAAGCAGAAGTAGATTGGGTAAGTAATAATACAAGTTAATACATTCTTTGATAAATATGTTATTATTATTATTATTATTATTATTATTATTATTATTATTATGATGATGATGATGATGATGATGATGATGATGATGATGATGATGATGATGATGACGACGATCACCACCACCACCACCAACACCACCACCACCACCACCACCACCACCACTGTAACGACCCAAAATTCATGACTAAAAATTTCCTTTAAAATCATTACTTAAAACATAATTGTCAAACCATAAACGAAACCATACATAAACCAAAGTATTAAATCCAAAACATATTTTCATTATCAGAGTAAAACATCCCAGACTGTCTAATCAATGGTGTGTGCCATGCGATCACCCCGAGCTTTTCCCTCCGCTACCAGAAGTACCTGGAACCAAAACTGAAAACCGTAAGCACGAAGCTTAGTGAGTTCCCCAACCTACCACATACCCTGCATAATCACATACTGCAAATACTGGGCCACGCCCGCTACTTTGGGCCTCGCCCACTACCTCGGGCCTCGCCCGCTACAACGGCCCCGCCGCTCCAGGCCCCGCCTGACTTTGAGCCCCGCTCGGATACAGATCTGCTTCTCCTAGGCCCCGCCTGTCCCTGGGCCCCGCTCGCTAATCATATACTAACACATAAACATACCACAACACATAACCAAACATATACTACTGAATCCTGTTCTAAGGCCTCGCCTATCTTGAGCCTCGCCCTTGTCCTGCTACTGATGAGTCATGGAACCCCGTCCACACTCCTTCTGATAGTGAGATACGAGCCCAGTCCACACTCACTCCTTTCCTAACTTGGGCCTCGCCCCTGCTCTGCTGCTAATGAGCTATGGAACACCGTCCACACTCTGCTATTTGTGAGTTACGGGACCTCGCCCACACTCACCTCCCTACCAGGCACATACATGTATCTCACAGACAACAAGTATATTCTATCATGCAAACCATTCCTTGGGCACCCGCCCGCTACCACTGGACCTTGGTCCTGAATATCATACTAGCATATAGTGCTTAGGGCTAACCCCCGGGTCTTCCTACTCATTACTATATAGGTCGGCATTGTGGCCGTAGACCCATCCACACAAGGGAAACTCACCTCCTACTGCTGAAGCTGAACCACGAAAGCACAACCCCGAATTACTGCTCCAAACTCCAACACCTAAAGCCATCAATGAACCATTGACATAAATATCCAAATTACCATAATACCCTTGAAGTCAATCGGTCAAAGTCAAAGTCCTGGCCAAAGTCAACCTTCCTGATTGACTCTACTCGCCGAGTCAACCCATAGACTCGCCGAGTTCTTAAACTCAGAAACTCTCATAATACGACTCAACTCGCCGAGTCACCCCAAGACTCGTCGAGTTCAACGATATCTGAGTCCCATCCTGTCCAACTCACTGAGTCACCACTCAACTCACTAATCTGTGCCTTAACCAGAAGAGGTTGGGGGGTCTGCGACCTGACTCGTCGAGTCGAAGAACAGACTCGCCGAGTCTACGACAATCTTCAACATACTCGCCGAGTTGTTCTTCCAACTCGTCGAGTCCCTGCCCATCATCATACAACTCGCCGAGTCCACCCATGTGACTCGCTGAGTCTCTTCAGTCCTTAATCCATACAGTGGCTTTTCGAGCCATGCAGGGGCTCCAACCCATAGATCCACTCTTCTAAAGTCTAACCCCCACGTAAAGTTGCAAACTTTACGTGAAACCAAGGAGCTAAAGGCCCAAAACACTCTAGGGATAGGGTTTAAGACAAAGGGGCTTCACCAACAATTCATTGACCGCTGCTTTAAGACATTCTGGACCATCCCAACCCTAGGTCTGAAGCAACAACCTCAGATCTAAGCCCCAAACCCGAAATAGATCTCAATCTTACCAAAATAGCCCCAAAATCTCATTCAAGAATAGGTCTAGATGCAAAAAGGGTGAAGGTAACAACTTATTACCTCCAAGATGACCTCCCACTGAAGAATAATCCAAATCTATGTAAATCCCCTTGATCCAAGTTTCTTGATCTTCAAGATCTCTTCACAAAAACCACTTATCTAAGCTCCAAATTGCTCTCAAGGACTCTCACTCACGATTTAGGGTTTCTGGATCTCAAAAGGGTGGTAAAGAGGCTGAGGGAGGGATATGATGTTCTTTATATAGGGTGCAAACCCTAAGATTAGGGTTTTTCTCGCCCAGACCAGACTCGCCGAGTCCACTTTCCGACTCGCCGAGTCGGTCACTTACTCTATGACCCGGATCCCGCTCCGACTCGTCGAGTTCTTCCCTGGACTCGACGAGTTGACTCCTTGACTTAGAGCTTTTCCTTTCTTTTCTTGGTCTTTCTGATTCTGGGTGTTACAACTCTCCTCCACTTAAACTAAACTTCGTCCTCGAAGTTCTCTACGGCCAATCGTCCTGCAATCTGCTTTCAACACCCTGCTTGAAAAAAAAAATCTAACACCCGCTGACTACTTCCGCTGGCCTTCCGCCCGGTCATGCATACCAACCCTAATTCTTGTAATAACAATCCTCCACCGTCCAGAGAACACATCCTGTTCCATTGGTAATCCTTCCAGTACTCCCCGAGCACTCATACTGAACCCCTTAGGGGTTCACTCCCCTTTGACTTGCGCGTTTTCTGGCCTTCCCAAGGCTACTTCCCATAACTAACCACTTCCCCTATCACTGTGAAGGACATACCTTTCACGATATCCAATACTCCAGCCACTCCCAGTGCTGGTTACGGCTGCCGTACACACTGAATACTTCTTACTACTTACAATTTAATGCTGAGTACCCATCCCAGCGAATGGTTCAGATAATCCTTCGAGTAAAGGATTCATCCCTGCAACGGTTAAGACTCAAACGAGAGCTGCGCAACATGGTCAAACCCTTCCCTCTGAGATTATCCAACCCTGCTGTGAGAGGCGCAACACCCTTAGTCAAATATCTGCCTTACCCCCAGTCCTTCTATCATCACTGCCACTAGCTGAAAGTTATGTTGTCCCTTATCCGCCTTCCGGATGAACTGAGACCACCCCAGGTCCCAACTAATCTGTCCATAACTGGATTACCGAACTCCCACCGGTC